TAGCTCCGCACCCTCCGCTCATTTGCTCCGCACCCAATATTTCCCACAGGCTCTGTCTGCATAGGGTGTTACAATACACTTAGATTTTTTTATCTGTTTGTTTATTTCAACACTGTGGCTAGTCGATCTATGTGGATGCAGTCAGGCACATGTAATGTTTTGTGAGTACCCGCCTCTGTACTTTTCAATGGAAGAATTTTGCACTTCTGTTTAAATAATCTATATTTACTCATCCGTGTATATCATACTTCATTGATTTACAAAACCAAAGCTACGCTATAAACACACATTCTCTGATATTTTTACGGAGAATAGATAACTCAAACGAGTTCACTCGACCAGTTTTATCATCTCGCTCATAGCTGTGAGAAGGTATGTATAATTTGCCATAGGTTTACCTTGTAATGGGGAATAAAAAATTCAAGTAATATAATTATTTTACATACACAAATATGTCTGTATGAAGTAAAATACAAATACAATGCGTTCTATAATATTTTTGGAGTTATGGTATGAAATATCAGCTTTAAAAAAACAGTTTAATCATGATGTATCATGTGGATTAGTAGACGTTCTGATTGGATTCATTGAACAGACTGGCTAGGTTTCAATTGAATCATTTTGAATGTGTGTATTTTTAATATTTTAATCCACAGTGTCCGAAAACAATAATAATGCTATATTGGTAATTGGAAAAATTCCACTTACCACGATTTCAAAAAATTGTAAATAGATAATACTATTCTTGAATGATGGTCATTTGTTTCAAGGAATCTGGAGGCTCGTTCAGCTGAGCTGACAAAATCATCAAGATTTACGGATGGTCCATCTGTTGGCTGCTCATTGTCACCTTCAAGGAATGTTAATGGCTCTGAAACTGGTAGCCTTGCCCAAGTCGGTATTTATTTACTTATCTGATCTTGAATTATTACCACCTTGTACAATCCAATGTATCATCGCTGATATTATGCTAAGTTATTCAGCGGTTCCGAGATTCCCATAATACCTAGGCTACCTAAGGGTATCGCAAAACCATATTGATTGATTAACAGTATCAGCGATAAAACCATAGTCTTTGGCTCACACAGTGAGACTATGGGATCGACCAGGCGTCCGTCCGTTGGTCCGTCCGTCCGTCCGTTGGTCCGTCCTTCTGTCAACATTTGCTGCACAAATTAAAACTGCTATTCGGATTGAGTCATTTCCACATTCATTTTATGCATATCCATAATGTCTATTTGACCTATCATCGCCATTTCCCAAGTTCGCCAAGTTTCCGAGAAATTGCTGATTTTTAAATTTCGAGAAAAATCGATCTGATGATAGCCTTATAGAAAGTCAAGAGAAGTGAAGAAAAGATTGAAAAAATACCAGCCACGTCCATTTCCAGGTCCAAGTCCAGGTCCAGGTCCAAGTCAAGGTCCAGTTCAGGTCCAAGTCCAGATCTGGATGTAATCAGGTTTAAACCAGGTCAAAGGTCAAGAACTAGGTCAAATCCAGTACTTTGTCATTTTTTTCAATTTTCTCAGTCGTCCTTGAATATTTTTGCTCCGTTTTTTTAATCATGTTCCTTGGAAAAAAGCTAATCCCTACAGGCAACTTGTTTTTGATCACTCTTACCGTTTTTGAGATATGGCATCCGAAAAGTAAGTCACAATAAAAAGTTCTTGGAATTCAATGTATAAGTTATGAAATATGTGTAAAATTGTCCAAGGAATCCGAATCTGCAAACCAGATTTTGATCCGACTTCCGGTTCGGAAGTTATGGCATTTTGAAATCTCAAAAATCGCTATTTTGGTATCCCATGTTAAGTCAATGGGGCTTGAGAAAATTATCAATTGTAACAACACAACACTAGATACAGCTTGGATGCAGCCAACTTAATAAGAATCTACAATAGAAGCCGTCCTCAAAATCTACTTTCCTTCAAAATTTGAACACTAAAAGGCCTAGGTCAAAGTCTAAGTCAAATTCATAGTTTTTCTTTTGACTACAACAAATCATATCTGAACCAACAACAAAGGACTCATCTTTAATTGATCTCCTATTTACCAATACTTTTGTTTGTAAATCAGGATATTCATTCCTCTGTAGGTTCTACACTGTGTGAGCACAGGACCGTGGGTCCTTTATTTCATCTGTAATGGCATTTTCCAGTTGATGGGTTTATATATAGTATTTTCAATTTTTCATGAGGGTGCCTTTAGACTACTTGTAATGGGGTGGCTAATTACTTTACTGAATGAGGAATGTTTATCCAAACAATGGATACAAAGAAAATCTGGCCAGTTGTCCAACAGTAAATAAATCATCATGATAAAAGTATAATTTATTAAAGCATCCATTTGTTACCGTTCTGAATCCAAATGATACATAGGTGCATCCATTTTATACATATATGTTGACGTTTACGAAGTGTTTTTCAAATATCTTCCCTATAACAGGAATATGGTAGCTGAAACTTTCACACATTGTCATACTATGTATATTGAATATGTGTGCAAGATTTCAAGTCACAATGTTAAGTAGAAACTCTGAGATCACTTACCTCGATTTGCTGTCATATTTTTGCAATGATCCCATTCCCTATAATGTATGCGAGTACCCACGATACATTACATATAAATGACTGCATCCACATAGATCGACTAGCCACAGTGTTCAATGTTAGAAATTGCAGAATTATCGCTATCAAAGCTTTACCTTTTATCCAATATTCCCGGGATTTTACCAATGAAATTATTTGTTTTGATAACACTCACCACACAATTTTTCTTTTCACTTTTGCTTATTGGCCTGAAATAAAGTTATTAAGGAAGATTGAAGAAGGAATAAGTGCTAAACTAATAACGCAGATGCGAGTAAGTAGTTACCAGTTTCGCCACCAGGTGGCTCGTTCGGGTCAGATAACATGGCGGGTATAGTAGAAAGTTCCCTTTAACTTAAATTACATCTGTTTAAGTGGTTCAATTTTTATATAACCCTTATGTATCTAATAGGTATGCAAATTAAAATATGTCCAGTAAAAGAAAATGTTATCTGTCCAATACAAGAAAAGATATTTCACTTTTTGTGATTTTGTAACATGGGGTCTATGAGACTATGAGCACGGGGTACCATCGAATAATTTTGGCAACGTACCGGATAGAACGACATTTTACTAAGAAATGGCAATAATTTAGCACAATATATTTTTTAACTAGAGTTCTACTTTGATTTTGACAAAAGTAAGTATTCCATGCAATGGCTATTTCATTCATGAGTTTGTAGGAATTCTGTTGGAACCCAGTTCTGATCAAGTACGAAGTTATTGAAATCGGCGCAGTCGGACTTTACTCCGAAAGATGGTTTTTCGATTATAACTTTTTACAACATTTAAGTATAGACTTTTGAAAAAAGTACAGAATAGTCCTTATACTATTGAATAATTCTGTTATTTCTGATTCACACGACTCGGATTTGTTTAATTAAAAAAAAAGTTTTAAAAATATTAGTTAGGAACGTAACCGGAGCTGGGAACGTAACCGGAGCAGATCAGTTGAATTATATAATTTAAAAAAATTAAATATATGATTTAAAGCATATATATTAATAAATACGCATTCGAACAATCCCGTATGTTTTTAAATTAGTCGTTCTCCGGTACGTTGCCAAAATTATTCGATGCTACCCCGTGATGAGGAATCAACCCGAGCTAGAAGTCACATTTTCAAAAAAAATTAAATTTTCAAAGTTGATATACAATTTTCGAAACCATTTTTCTAGATGTACTTTTACATGTAGATTTCAAATATGACATAACTTTGACTGAATTTTGAATATTTAATGACGTAAATCGAGATTATTTCTATTCGCATCTAGTCTATTGAAAATTATGTAATATTTAATTTTGACAAACTAATAATCGCACAAATTAGTGTTTACTTACCGAGAATGGATAAATAGTATTAAAATCTGCATTTAATTTTTAGACCAGAAATAACCTATTCTCTATCGTGACTTTGGAAAATGATACATCTGCTAAAACTAGATCTTGTATTTTCAAATAAAACTAGAGCTAATTACATATTTTGCCGTTTTTGGCTTTCATCTTTTTTAATAATTTATAAAAAAAATCATTTTATTGAAAATTTGATTGGTAAATCTGTTTTATTTATCATCCGAAGTCAGAATCATCACTGTCCATTATATTCATCCCCTGAGGGACTTCCGGTAATATTGCCGTGAAGGAATCATTGAAATGTAACCAAAATATGTAAAATTTGAGACAAGTAGGAGATGTTACATCTTATATAGAGGTTAGTTTTTAATAAAATCGCTTCTTACACGATCACTTTGCACAAGTAATTGAAAGTTTTCGATTGAAATCAAAAAATTATCGCTGATAATATAATCACATGTTCACGTTGGGAATATTAAACTTTCTATTCATAAACTACCTATTAAATTATGATTTCAGGAATCGTTTGTTCTTCCTGACATATCTATAAATCATTGTGGTGTACCAATTATTCATTTCTGATACATTTGTTCTTGTGAGTATTCCTGGAAAAGGACAGTGACAATTTCATTGCTGTTTCTTTCATTGCAGATATCACACTCATGTACATGTGGTAACCCTTGGGTAAACTCTTACTCTAAATGTTGTCTTGACATGTTAATTTAAATTATCTGGAGCATTTTAGCTTGTAACGGTGTTCTTTATCCTCAGAATCTTAACTCACATCTCCATATTTTTTTTCAAATTTCAGTTGATTCCAGGTTCACCTTAATCATCACCAATATATTTTTAATACATCAGTTTACAAAATATTAATAAAACTAAAATAGAGACACATTTGACTCCTATGTAAAACATTAATTTAATCATGAGTGATATGCTAGCAAAACAGAGGTTCTAGACAGAATATCATATTCAAAAGTGTATCTCAGATGAGAAGTCTTCCAGTTTATGACTAAGTTTCTGCTATTGTAAACTGTTTATGTATTTTTACTGCAGGAGGTATTCTAATGATGACTTGAGAGCACATGATATGTGCCTTGAGTTTTGAGGTTTGCCATCCTGAAGAAAGTAAACCATGGACACATACAGGGAGGATAACATGCCATACTATGTGAGTACCCTTTGAGGTTTGTTATAGACTGTGGACCATTCTGTAGAAGTGCTCTAGAAATGCATCCTTCCTGTCATGTAACATATTTTAAACAATCTGTATGATTATGCTGGACTTCATGTAGGGGTGGCAGAAGGCCCTCAGGCCAATTTATACCCCTACCCTAACAAAACTTTGGGGGTACTTTAACCTTTAGCGTGCTGCCGGCGAACGCGTCCGCTGAGACTAAAATGTGTGTCACAACTGCTGGCGGACCCGTACGCCGAATTTCAAACTTTTAAAAACTTTACTTTTTCGCGCCATTCGTATTGTCCAATTAGATTGCCCGATTTATTCAGTGCCTAACATGACTTCCTGTTGACCTAAAAATGGCGATATTTCGAAAAATAATTCTCAATTCAACAATTTAAACAGTGTTTTAGTCGTTTTAAGTGAACAAATCGTACAAAATGGCGGACAAATACGATCACAACGAAAATGTGGAGGAAATAGACTACGATTTCGAGCTCTTTAGGCTCTTAGAAGCCGATAATGGTCATCGAAAATAGAAACTAGAATATTTTCTGAATTGAAAAATTGAACATTCGATCGCTGCAAATTCAGATTTGAATTCTGACCAGACGAAGGGGCGGAGCGGCGGATTTCGGAGGAGTATTCATGGTATATTTATGCCCAGTCATGTTATTGTACGAAAAATATTCATAAGAACATTTTTTTCATGAGCCAGGCCACTGTATCTTCCCTTTGTGAAAATTTTATCCAGATTCATTCAGTAGTTATTGAGATATTAATTATTTAGTCCAGGCATATCATTTTTTGCACTCTTTGAAAAAGAAGCCAGTTGCGTGGGATATATTTGCTGAAATAAGGCAGCATGGTAAAGGTTAATACCTCCCAATAAAAAGAATACTAATGTATATCAGATATTCATTGTTTTATAGTTGGTAGGGCATGCCTTGGTTAGTCAGTGCCAGAAATTTCCAATCTCTGACTTACAGTATATGGTTACCACAGAAACAGTATTTATTCATATCTCACAATCTTCTCAATATGACCCCGTCCCAAATGTGTCCTTTAGTTCTCAAAGTGAAATATTTGCAAATCAGTTTGGATTTTGTGGCTGCTACTTTATTAAAAGTTGAATTAATATGTATGAATTCACACTAAAGCACTAAAAACTTGATATAATGATCCCATAAATTAATAATATTCATCAAATGTAGTCACACACAACTGCTTTTAGGGAAAAGTGGGCGTGGCACTTTTTGGTACTTGTGTAATTGTTGCAGCATTAAATGAAAAATACATATAACACTAACAACAATTGACATTTAATTAATATGTTCATTACCATTATTAGATACTTTGAATATTTTATGTGCCTTCCCTATCATAGGTAATCAATGGTCAAATTAACTTTTAGTCTAAGTCCTAGAGGTTCTAAGTGTGCATTCGTTATGTACCAAATATCGGACCCGTTAGCTGAAATAATGATTACTCAATTAGCATTTGATTAGATTTTATTGCCCTCTGCTGCGAAGTCCGCTCATAATATCAATAGCCTATCCTGGACCCTGTTGCTCTATGCCATAGGATAGCACAATCAAGACCCCTTTGGACTTTTTTGCATATTGAGTTTCACCACGTATTCACCCATCTACTTAAAGAAGAAGTCAAAAATCCCCCTCTTCCAGTGTTAATTTTGCGATTCTGCTGGCCGATCTAATTATATTCGCCGAAATTAATTCTATACCGGGACAGGCCTCCTGTTATCTGATTGGTCGTTGAATTTGTTTATTGGCTGCCTGGTTCAAGGTGGTTGTGTTAGCCGTGGAATCAATTCTGTTTAATTCTGGAGGTTGGTTGTTCTGTTTTTATGTCACCACCAAAAGTGGTGACATATTGTTATGGTCTCCGTTTTTTTGCGACGGCGTCCGGCGGTTGGAGGTTGGCGTCCGGCAGTTGGCGTCCGGCGGTTGGCGTCCGGCGGTTGGCGTCCGGCGTCTGTAACAATTTCTTACAACTTCCTATAACTTAACAAATACTGTTTAGACTGACTTCAATTTTTTTCTAAATCATCTACATGTTCTCAGAAGTTCAAATCTGACTTTAGATTTGACATTCGACCTTCAATGACCTTCTCAAGGTCAAAAAGGTCTTTTTTCAACTTGCTTCACATTGACTCATTTTTTTTTCAAAATCATCTACATGTTCTCAGAAATTCAAATCTGACTTTAGATTTGACTTTAGATTTGACATTTGACCTTCAAATCTGACTTTAGACTTGACATTTGACCTTCAATGACCTTCTCAAGGTCAAAAAAGGTCAAAAAGGTCTGTTTTCAACTTGCTTCAAATTGACTAAATTTTTTTTTCAAAATCATCTACGTGTTCTCAGAAATTCAAATCTGACTTAAGATTTGACATTTGACCTTCAATGACCTTCTCAAGGTCAAAAAAGGTGAAAAAGGTCTGTTTTCAACTTGCTTCAAATTGACTAAAAAAAATTTTCAAAATCATCTACGTGTTCTCAGAAATTCAAATCTGACTTTAGATTTGACTTAAGATTTGACATTTGACCTTCAATGACCTTCTCCAAGTCAAAAAAGGTCAAAAAGGTCTTTTTTCAACTTGCTTCAAATTGACTAAATTTTTTTTTCGAAATCATCTACATGTTCTCAGAAATTCAAATCTGACTTTAGATTTGACATTTGACCTTCAATGACCTTCTCAATGTCAAAAAAGGTCAAAAAGGTATTTTTTCATCTTGCTTCAAATTGACTAAATTTTTTTTTCAAAATCATCTACATGTTCTCAGAAATTCAAATATGACTTTAGATTTGACTTTGGATTTGACATTTGACCTTCAATGACCTTCTCAAGGTCAAAAAAGGTCAAAAAGGTCTTTTTTCAACTTGCTTCAAATTGACTAATTTTTTTTTCAAAATCATCTACATGTTCTCAGAAATTCAAATCTGCCTTTTCGATTTGACATTTGACCTTTAATGACCTTCTCAAGGTCAAAAAAGGTCGAAAAGGTCTGTTTTCAACTTGCTTCAAATTGACTAAATTTTTTTTTCAAAATCATCTACATGTTCTCAGAAATTCAAATATGACTTTAGATTTGACATTTGACCTTCAATGACCTTCTGAAGGTCAAAAAAGGTCAAAAAGGTCTTTTTTCAACTTGCTTCAAATTGACTAATTTTTTTTTTCAAAATCATCTACATTTTCTCAGAAATTCAAATCTGAAATTAGATTTGACCTTTGACCTTCAATGACCTTCTCAAGGTCAAAAAGGTCTTTTTTCAACTTGCTTCAAATTGACTAATTTTTTTTCAAAATCATCTACATGTTCTCAGAAGTTCAAATCTGACTTTAGATTTGACATTTGACCTTCAATGACCTTTTCAAGGTCAAAAAGGTCTTTTTTCAACTTGCTTCAAATTTACTTAATTTTTTTTCAAAATCATCTACATGTTCTCAGAAGTTCAAATCTGACTTTACATTTGACATTTGACCTTCAATGACCTTCTCAATGTCAAAAAAAGTCAAAGAGGTATTTTTTCAACTTGCTTCAAATTGACGAATTTTTTTTTCAAAATCATCTACATGTTCTAAGAAGTTCAAATCTGACTTAAGATTTGTGTGCAACTAGTTTTAACTTGCTTCAGATTGAACAGTTTCTTTTTTCAAAATCATCTACAAGATCCCAGAAGCTCAAATCTTCAAAAACATTCTTAAGGTCAAAAGGTATTTTCCAACTTGCTTTAAATTGACCAAATTGTTTTAGGTGGTGACATTTTGTCATGTTAATGCCTTGTCTATTTCAATATCTCGGCAATAATATACCCAAAAGTTATTCTCAAGATATATCCATGGTATGTGAGATATTATATGAGCAATAACAATAGGACATCATTGATTGTCTGGGGAGAAACCTATGGTATAATGCATCTTTAATAGCTTCATTTTATGATAACTATCTCAAACTAAACCAAATGACAACATGTTCGCTAGAATCTTCATAAAACTGATTATATAATGTTATTTCACTGCTAGTTGCAATATTTTCTAGGGAATAGACACTTAGTCTTTTTAGTTTGTCAAAGTCGTATTCATTGACTCGTACCTAGAATATGAATGGTTCCATTGATCAAGAGCCATGAGTTAAAATTGATTAATACATTTTTAAGGGTTAGAGCCATTTTATGCAATTGAAAAGTAATGGACCATTCCATCCTTTGGGATGATGTTATCTCATGTTGGTGTGATTTGCATACTAGTAACAGTTATGACATGGATTAAGTTATATGAACTCATTTATCATAAAACAACCCTTCACTAGTACAGTGTGTCAGATAAGGATTTTTTTCTGCTAGCCATTTTGGCCACCAGATTTCAGATACCACTGGCCAAACAGATTTGGCACTAGCCAGTATAAAATTACGCTAACATCGCAAATTCTTACGAAAATCATTTATTATATATTTAAAAAGTAAAAAATCAGCAATTTGTGCAGCCAACTATATCAAAGTATCATTTAATTGCCTAATAATAACACTATGATATCATGGGTGTAGCACCCGGTACGATGGGTACGCACAAGCGTACCAGATGGTTGCAAATTCGCTCCAAATACAACCAAATTTCAAAATTTTCCTGGGGGAGAACCCCTAGACCATCCTGAATTCTCGTTTTTTGATTCACTCAACTCTTGTTCCCGTGGTGGTGTCCGGAAAGTAAAGATACAAATGCTCTAATTTCAATAGATTTACCTGTTGTGAGATGAAATTGCTACAGATTGTAGAATGACATTGTAACAATTTATCCTGCAAATATCATGACAAATAGTTTCAAAATAAAAAAGTTATGGTTGTTATGGTGACAGGAGTCGCGGGTATGTGGAGCAGCGTCACAATTATTTTTTATAAATCTTTTCTCCAGTTCATATCATCTTGACACTTTGTCATCTGTTGCTATTATATATCAAATTATGT